CTTCTTGGTTATCATGATCTTCTGTGTTAGTACAAAGAAAATGGCATTCCATGCAACAGTTGAAATCGACACCCTAAATTCAGAGCCTCTAACTAGACTTTCCATTTCAAAGAGGACCCTCAAGCAGGAAACATATTCTATGTATTTTCCCCACACCTCAGGTCTACAACTGATATTTATTTTAATTTGATTTTACCCAGATACTATAGTAGCATATATAGTTGAACACAAGAATAGATTTTACCAGAGCCCCTAGTAATTATCCAGGACCTCAGACTTTAGTATGAGTACAACTCAGTCTCCCCGGCCCTTCTCCTCCACTCAACCTTTCTTTCCAGCCCCTGTCCCAAGCCAGCATATTCCTGGCCTCTGCACTATGGTCCCACAGTCCTTTTTGACTGGATGCCTTTCCCAAGCCCACCTTAACATCCCTGCTCTTTTCTGAGTCTACTCAGGTTGATTCACCTCGAGTATTGTTGCCTTTCCTAATGCTACATTTTCCTTCCCTCCTCTAAATTTATCTCTACCATTGATTTAACATTCAATCACTTGGCCTTCGAGGCCTGTCATCTTAATTATGCCATATCCTTCCACTATATCTGAAAATGCCTTAGTACCGAAAACTAGTGTGGTATATCACATTTGTGGTACATCATCCCTTGCTCCTCTAAACAATCTTTGAGATGTAGCAAAGCAGATATTACTGAGATTATGTTACTTCCATGTTTCAAATGATGAAGTTGAGGCTTGGAGACATTAAGTAGCCCACTCAATGAAGAAGTAACAGAGTTGGGATTTGAACTCAACTCTGTCCTACCTCCAAAGGTGTAGTTCTTTTCTAGTATAACCAAGGTGGCAAAGAGGTCTGCTTCATCTCAAGTCCAACTCTAAGTAATTAGGCATAGCTGCCCAGAGTGCTGTTTTAAAGAGCCAGACTTGGGCTCAACAGGAAACCAAACCATCCTTGATGGAGGATGGAGCAAAGTCAGCCATGGGTCCAGCATTTAAAAGAAAGAGCACAACACCAACAAATTTCTTGGTTGGATCACCTCTCTGCTGATCCCTGTTCTGCTCTGACTTTCTTAGGCTAGGATAGAGAGTCTTCTACTAGTCTGTGTATTCCACGGCACTTAGAACATAGTGCTTAACCTATAGTAGATGAGTAATAAATATGTATTGCTTGATAGTGACATAAACATCCTCAGTGAGGCACAGCGCCACTCTCAGAAATTGCAAGTGCAGCCGACAGACAGCCATGCTGGGAGACCTGTACATGAGTAGCTCTCTTCTGGGCCTGCTAAACAACTTCCACTTGGTGAAAGATCACAAGCTAGCATGCTGCAAAATAAAACGTGATGCTTAAGGAAAATTGTTTGAGCTGTAAGACTGAATATTGATGTAAAAATGCGGTTTTGCTTCTGCATGATGATAATACTTGTCCTATGAACTGCTTGGTCACAGGGAAACCATACACCACACAGCACGGTGCACTACCTCCCCATGCCCTGCTCGTGCTCATGTTCAAGGTCACTCATCTCCTCTGGAGTTCTCCCATGGGTTGTTGCAGGCTCTGCCCTCTCCATCAATTAATGAATCAGAAATGGAGAGAAGGTGTTTCCAGCATGCACTGTGGTAAATTACAGGAGAAAAAAATTACTAATTACCGATGATCTCCTACAAGCAGGCCTTGCCCTCCCCTTCTCTGCTCTGTTGGTTTTCAGCCCCAATTTGGGCTCCCTGCTTCCCTTCCAGACTGTCTCCCGCCTCAGGCTGGGAGTTCTCTGTTTCCGTTTCATCTCTTTTCCATACCTCTGGATGGGGATGCGTCCAGGAACCCAGGCCAAAACCAGCAAATTTATCACCGTGGTAATGACAGCAAGCTGCATGCTGGGTGAATTCTGCAATCCCCCTCAACTCCTTCTTTTGCCAAAACCTGTGGAGCTGCAGGATCCAGCGGGTTACAGAGGCTGTTATCTGCACATGAAGAATGGCTTTGTTCAAAGCTGCAACCAGGACTCAGTCATAAGGCTATTTTGGGAAGTTTGTTTGGGGAAGTTGCAAAAAAACAGATCACCATGTGGTGGGAGATGTTGGTCAATTAACCAAAACTGAGCAGCACTAACACATTTTAAAACTGCCTTTATCAATATGTAACATAGTAAAGAACTATCTTTTGTTCCCTAGGGCTGCCTTGTTCTGAGATTAAGTATTTATGTTTGTGGGGTTTATAGAACTGGTGTCCTGGTGGCACAATGCCCAACTTCATTTACATGAGCAGTCTTCCTAGGCCAGGGTCTGTGGAGGATCCTTAATCCTGTCATTCTAAAGAAAGAGGGAAAGAGAGGAAGGAAAGAAGGGAGGGAGGGAGAGAGGAAGGGAGTGAAGGAGGAAGGGAGCTTCCCTGGAGTTTGAGAAAAGGGAACCTGACCATTCCAATAGGAACAAGGAAAGTCATGTCATGACACAGAAGGTTGAGCATCTTCTGTGGGCAAGGAATGGAATTGGGAGGCACTTACTTGGAGAAGCATGTGTCAGGAGGCACATGGTCAGGGAGACCTGTCGTTGGGGAGCTTGTTGTCAAGGAGGTAGTTTCCCAGGGAGGAATGCAGCCCAGTGCTTGCTCGAAAGAAGCAAACCATCATCCAGTCTCATTAGGAAGTCAATGCCCAGGCATGGGAGAGGCTCATGGTGTGAGACTGTGCCAGATACCCGGGAAACAGGCAAGGAACCAAGTCGTCACTGGTTTGCTATACCATCAGAATGAAAATGCCTTTGGTGACCTACTCTAAACTGAGGGATGTAAATATGGTGTGTTGTGTTTGTCATAGCAGCATCTCCTTTGATTTGGAACATGCATGAGCGATGCTTTCTTAAAATTCAATTCAGCAATGTTTGATGAAGACTGGCGTCTCAGTCCAGCACCAACTTTATACCCCCAACTTCTTTACTCTGCTGATATGGACAGTTAGAATCATGTTGCCCAGAGTGGGGAAGAGATCCTGTCTGTGGCTGTGGCTGGCTCAGATGTCAGGTCATCTTCCTGTTGGGTCCAGGTTCACCAGTACTCGTTACTGGGCCAAATTTCCACTTCCCTAACCCCCCTCAATACACTCTTATGGTTCCTACCCTTCCCCACTTAGAATTGGGGTGCAATTATTGCCTCAGCCCAGTGCTTGTCATCCTCCCTATGCAAAATATTCTCCAGAGGATACACATGGAGGGCAAGGCCCAGACATGCAGGTACCCCAGACCTTCACCCAAGATGATGACTTGCCCAGAGACAGTGGCCTCTGAGGGATTACTGAAGGACCCAGAGAAGGCAAGTCCAAGTGAAAAGATCATAGTAGAGTCCTCAGACGTGTGAAGGGTCCTCACTGCCATTGAGAGAGGATCCTTTTCTATGCTGATCCAGAGAATAGACCAGGTCCATAACTGAGAGTTAGAGGGAAGCAGGTGTCAAATCTACATAAGTAATTCCTTGTACAACTTAATCAATGAAACAGCCTGAATATATATAAGTCAGAGGGAAAATTTTCACTTCATTCTGAAGAAGAGATTCCTAAATTGGGTGCAAAGTTGAACTGAATGCCCTCTACCACCCCTCCCAATCATATCATTCTAAGAGTGCCCTAGAACTTTCCATGAGTCGCAAGGTCTCCTGTAACAGTTTCATTGTCTACTCATCTTTTGAATACTCAGTTCAGCTGTGACCTGAGAGATGAAGAATGTACTTGATGTGAAGAAAGAAATATATTAGACAAGGGAGCAATGAAGTTCCCAGACTTCCTGGGAATCCCCCAGCGACCTGGTCACCTCTCCCATATGGACATACGATACAGCCAGCACTGACACATTAACAAGTGTGCTGAGCCTTTGGACATAAACAAACTCCAAGGTTGCTGTTTCACCTGTCTCTCAAGCACCAAATCATGGAATTTTAGAGATGGAGGAAGCCTGGAGGTCATTGCCTCCCAAGTCCTACCCAGGGCAGGAGTCCCTCATCCAACGACCCAACAGAAGGTCACCCCGCTTCTGCTCAAGCACTTTCAGGAAGGGGCTCACTGCTTTACCAAGAGATTTAGTTCATTTTGAGACAACTAAATCCATTTTGAGACAGCCCTCATGAGAACTGTTTCATCCTCATATTGAGCCCCAAGTCTGCATTCATTCCATTTGATTTCTACCCTCAAGAATAAGACAAAAACAAATCTGTTCTTGAACCTATATACAACGTTTAGATATTCACAGTCATCCATTATCTCCATACCATCTCTCCCTCTAAGTCTTGTCTTCTCCATTTAAATGTCTCAAGTCACCTTAAATGTTTCTCATATTTCATTGTTTTGGATCCCTCACCATCCCAGTCATCATCTTCTGAATATTTTCCATTTTGCTAATGTTCCTTATGAAAAGTAGCGCCCAGAACAAATATCAACCATAGTCTCATCACTGCAGAATACAGTAGAACTGTTACCTCTCTTGACTTGCACACCATATCTTTATTAATGCAACCTAGAATTATAAAAGTTTCATGCCAAATGGTCAGCTGTTAAGGTGAGTGTCAGCTAAAATCACTATCTATTTTTATTTGACATAGTTTTATATAGCTTAAAGAAAGAAGGCAATTTTAACGTACCTTTAAAAATTATAAAAAGACCAATTCCTATCTTCTGTTTCATGAATACTAGACAGAACTATTTCAGAGACTAAGACCCTAGCAAAGGTTATGATTGACTGACTAAGAGAGTTGAATGCTAAGGTGATTGAATCCAAAGGTTAAATGTGTGTTTGCACTTATGTGCCAGTGCCTGGGCCTTTGCAACCTGTCCTTCCTGCACAATCTAGGCCATGGAAGAGCTCTTCCCTGTCTCTTTGTGGAAACTATGCCTGCTTTTGTCTCCCGTACTTTACCTTTTTTTTTCAGCTTGCCACATGCTTCCAGTGGTCTTCCTTCAGCCCATTAGAAACTCACTGGTGGTTTTCCTTTGTGTCTTTGACAGGTCACCTGAAGGAAGAAATCACCCAGCGGCATATACAGCAAGTGGCCATAGGTAGGTACAACATAGAGTCTGCAGGAAGAAGGTAAAGGTAATATCAGCTGACCTGGTCTTGGAATCCAAACCTAGCTGAAAGATAATCCATTTAAAATCCTCAGGAATGTTAAGGCGGGTCAATGTTGCTAGCAGTGCGGCTTTCTTTGAACTTTCCTCCTCTGTAGGACCTATTTTCCCAGCCTGTGTACTTGTGCCTGGTGTCAGCACCTGGTACCCTACCCTTCCAGCAGCTGCCTGCACCTTCCCCCCACACCCTCAACTAAATTCACTGCCCTGTGTCCCAGCTTTTCAGGGCCCTACTCTGAGCTTTGGAGAGCCACTAATCAATCTTAACAGTAACTGTCAATGATGAAAACAGCGACCATTTACTGACCTGTCTCTGCACAGTGTCTCCTGTCATCCTCATGACCATATGAAGAGGCAAGTGCCTTTACCAGATGATGGATATTCAGTGACTTGCCCAAGGTCACATAGCTAGTGAGTGTTGAAACAAGGATTTGAACCCAGCTCCCTCCAAATCCAAAGTTGGTGCTCTCAGCCCTCGTGCTGTTTATGGCCCATAACAATGACCAAGCCCACTTCAACACCTTGATAGTGCAAACACTAAACCAATATGGTCATATTCTAAGAGGCCATTGGCCCCTTTTAAGCAGTGGACAGCTGCAGAAAATGCCAACTTTTGATATGTGAGGCAATGAAATCACTTGGGAGGAGAGTGCAGCTCCCAAGAGATTGGTGGAGCAGGTAGCCTGGGAAAAAACCACCTCGTTTCCTCGCCAGCTAGCCTGAAGCTTTCATTAAACAAGAAATTCATGCATTCTATACAAAGGCTTTCCCCTTGAGATGGCCTGGGCCCTGCAATGACCTATAATAGGAGAAGTCCAGCATTCAGGGTCAAGAGTGGGGAAATGGAGGAGACCCTAATGTCATGAGGATGGCCCATTTGGCCCTAGAAACTTGGATTGGTAGGATGGTTGGTTGTTTAGTTGCAGTAGTAATAATGATCATATATCATAATTACTGATTACATCAGAAACAGGACAAGGAAGCCTAAGTTACATTGGCTGGAGCTTTGAGCCTCTCGCTCTTGGCCCGAGGACTGAGAGGTCATTTGCCAAAACCTTGGGCACACACTTGGAGTTAAGACCCTGCCAAGTGCCTTCAATAAGGAGCCAGGGCTGTCCCAGGGCCCTAACTCCTTGGGCTGGGCACAGGAAGGTGGAATGACCTCTGCTGGAAAGTTGTGCCAAGGTGACCTCCTGGGCCTCTGTGTCCTATACCACGCTCGCCCTGGGCAGGTCTCTGGATGTGGAGTCATCCCTAAGGGCTGCTACCTGGTCCTGAAGCATCTGGCTTCTTTTCCAGCGTTCATGATGCTGGTTCAGTCTGCAGCAAAGTCCTCAGAAGCCAGCCAGGACAGACACTCTGGGTCTTTGGAGACTTGCTGCGTGTTTTCCATCACAGGCTCGTGCCTTAATTCCTCTGCTCATCTCCCTGCGAGTCTTCTTCTGAATTACAGCAGGTGTCAGGTTCAGCAGGGCCCAGCTTTGCCTGAAGTAATCAGCAACTTCAAACGGAAAGCACTCTGGCTGGAAGTCTAATTAAGAACATTTGAAATACCTATTTATTTTAAAAGCATACTATCCCAATTAGAGAAGAAGTGTTAACATCTCCCAGCTGCCATCCTGAGATTAAATGCTATGTTGTCGTCTAAACTCCTTAGAAGGTTGTCTGATGGGGATTTGGAACCTCCAGTACTCATGTGTCCCAGGTGGCCACGTTTCGGATGGGAATTCTTTTCATGGAAAGAAAACTCTCCACACAATAGATTGTTTATAGGGCCTTAACCCTCACCCTTCAGGTCAGCACTGGGGCCCAAGGCAAGGACCAAGGGCTCCTGTAAGAGTGAAAACAATTCGCTCAGTACCTTTGGACTCCCTGGTGACCTGTACTTTGTTCTTCAGATATAGGAGTAAGGCAACAGGATATGCCCCCTTCCATTTCTTTCTCTGTGTCTTGTACTCCCTTCTCCCTTTTTGTTCTGTTTCCTTTGTCTACTTCTCTTCACTCTCTCTCACTCTCTATTTTAAGTATTCCTCTGCTATGGTTTCTTTCTTTTGCCTGCATGTCCCTAAGTTTCCATGAAGATGTGTGGTTGGCTTGGTTTTGTTTTGTTTTCGGGGACTAATAAGCAAGTCTGAGTAAGAAAGGCTTTCTCGTATATTTTGCATAAGAACATGTCTCTGAATGGATAAGTAGACATATGCTCAAGGAAATTGGTACAAAGGCAATCCTGTGTCCCAAGAGGGCAAAGATCTAGTGGTGACGTGAGAGGCACCATTTGGAAGAGATCATTGACTGATGATGGGAAGCCGACCCCAGTGGTGGACCGGAGCCTAGAAGCCCATGGTTAGCATTTCAGGAATCTGGGGATCCGTTGCTAAACAAAGCTTCATTAAAATTAAAGTATAAAAGTTTACAATTAAATAAATTATATCAGAAAACAAATAAATTTTGACAAGTACTCAAAATTCACCACTTCCTAGTCAATTTACTATATTTTACTATTATATGTGTTCTTGAGGTTACTCACATCCTCTATGTCAGTATTGTGAAAATATTGTATAATGGTGTGGTGCCATGCCTCTCTTCCCAAGTCTACATTTAGTGATATCACACTGGTGGCTTAAAATCAGCCATGGTGGCCGGGCTTGGTGGCTCAGCCTATAATTCTAGCACTTTGGGAGGCCAAGGCGAGTGGATTGCCTGAGCCCACAGGTCCGAGACCAGCCCCAGGCAATTTGGTGAGACCTTGTCTCTACAATAAATCAAAAATTAGCCGGGCTTGGTAGTGCTTAGAATTTAGAAGGCTGAGGCAGAAGGATCTCCGGAGTCCAGCAGGTCAGCGCTGGGGTGACCCTGAGTGTGACACCACTCCAGTTGGGCAATGGAGTGAGACTCTAACTAAAAAAAAAAAAATCAGCCATGGTGGGAGTATTTACACCAAGAAAATGAACAAATGTTATATATGGGCATCTTTTTCTTTGTATTTTTTGTTTTCAGAGAGCGACGATTAACATTTACCAATACACCACTGGCATATGGATGGCCCCTTCATGACCAGTTATGAGGGGTGAGGGTGCGTGCATGTGCTCTTATGAGGTGCTCTTCTACTCTCTCCTGGCTGCAAATCCAGATTATGGTTCTCTATTTACCATCCCCCCACACTTCCATCTCCCCCCATACACGTCTGGAAACAAACATCTACCAAATCTTGGTCCTTTTGAAAATCAGTGGACAGAGAAAGTAATGAGGACAAAAATGAGTCTGGAGAAGTACTGTGACCTGTGAGCCCCCTAGGTGTGACCGTCAGAAGCGTGGGGTGAGGGGTGTCTTTCAAGAGACAAAAATCAGTTCTAAGAACACCATCAATAAACAAGTCATTGAACGACTTAGAGGAGGGCTGACTCCCACATACTATTTCAGGAAACAATAAAGCAATGTTATTTTAAAATTAGGCATCATTTGCAAATGATGCTAACTTAACTGAATACAGCTAGCTGAGCTGAGCATGCGTCGTTGAATTCAGTTGGGTGTATTTTGATTCCTTTCTTGTACTATCGACCCTAAATGGCACAGTATTGCTGATAATGCAGATGAGGCCCAGCAGGAAACGGTTCTTTAGTACCTTCCTATGTGCCAGGCATGCTTCTAAGTTCTCTGGTGTATTTTCTTCATTAATGCTCACATCCCCATGAGGTAGATACCTCTATTATCTTCATGTTACAGTTACAGCACAAGGGGGTAAGTAAACCTGCCTAAGGTAGCCGAGCTAAGGATGCAAAGCCAGCAGCCTGCCTTCCGAGCTGTGCTCCAGCCACTACTCTGCACTGCCCTCAGCCCTTTGCCAGGCAGTCATGGAGTCCACAGAAGGGAATAGACCCAGTGCCTGCCTTCAAGGAGTTTCCAATCTAAGCAGGAGGAGGGGACATATGCATAAAAAGATAACTCCTTTTTTAAGCTTCAGATTCAGCTACATAAATTTTCCCAATCTCTGTCCTCTTCCTCTTATAGTCACAAAACCAATTCAACCTTGACCTCCTCGATGAAAACTTCCCTGGCCCCTCGCCCCCAAGTCTGCTTTTCCTCCAACCTCGTGCATCTCTGTGAGAGCAGCAATCTTGTTTTGTAATTATTTATTTCCATGGCAATTCTCCATGCTAAAATGTGAGCTCCTAGAAAGCTGGGTGCAGTCAAATCCATCTTTGTATCCCTAGCAGCCTGCATGAACAATAAATAGGCCAAATCAATGGCCAAGTGAATGCTTCCCCAGATGACTTCCAGACTCACACATCTTGCAAAAGTACAATGAGACATTTGAACATAAAATAAAATAAGTCCATTTAAAAGAAGTAGAAGGCGTAAGTGCTTTTGGACCCCACAGCTGAGCAAATTACAACACACAGGCAATAAATTCGGCTCTCTCTTGTCTAGCCACTAAGCAAAAAGAGAAGCAGCCAGAGTTACATAGTTTTCATTTTCTGACAGCAGGAAGCATACTAACTAATTTATCTGCAGAAATAGAATTTCTTCCTGGAACTAAATACAAGCCAGAATTTATCGTGTGGATCCTTGTGTAAAGGACACAGAGTGACACAGTGAACAATGTCTTCAACTGCAATTTTACAAAAGATACCGAAATGTTGTTCAACCAGATGATTCTTGTATCGACCCTCTATAAAAGCTAGAGGCCTGGCATTAAAGCATAACTCACAGAAAGCATTTATGTGAGCAGCCCAGATAATAGGATCCAGGTACTCTACTTTCTGATGGTTGCACAAGGTAGGAATAAAACTGGGAGAATCCAGCCCCAGGAACATGGGCTGTGGCCCCTCTCAAACATCTCTTCTAAGCAATATTTGGTCAGAACTGGATCCTGTTTAGTTCACAATCAAAACTCTAGCAAAGTGCCTGTGGTTGAAATTTAAAAGGTACAT